AGACAATTCGATTCTGTCCGCGTTCTGTTCTGGTACGTGTGCGAAAAAAAGACTGTTCTGAATTGAATCTGTTCGATTTTAGGTCTGTTCAAATTTGAAAACGTCCGAATTCGTCGTACCCCCCTCTGACAAGGATAATAATATGAAAAATAAAATAAATGTGTGAAAGATAGGATTTAAAATGTTCGTATTAAGAAAAATTGCTCAGAATGAGAAAATAGAGGGATTATAAAAAATGTACATATTTTGAGAAAAAAAAGGGGAGGATGTAAGAATTTATGATGACACTAGATGTATGAAAAAACAAATCGTTTCTATTTTTTGAAAATTTTGAAGTTTGAAAAGAAGAAGCCAAAAAATAAGCTAAAAAACTATATACATATGAAAATGTGGGCTTCTTTTCAAGTTAAAAGTTCCAAATTTGAAATTTTTGAATTTTAAAATTTTGGCTTCTTTTGAAATATTCCAAGAATTAGTCACATTTTGAATGTTCTAGAAATTTTGAGGTGTTTGAGATTTTAGAGTTTTCAAAATTTTAAAAAATTAATTTTTTAAGATTTTGAGAATTTTTAGAATTTCAGAATTTTGGAATCTTCAAATCTCAGAATCTAAAAACTTCAGAATTTGAGAAATTCGACATTTAAAAATCCCGAATCTCAGAATTTCAAACTTTCAGAATTCCAGTATCTCCGAATCTTAGAATCTCAGAATCTCAGAATCTCAGAATCTCAGAATTTCAGAATCTCAGAATCTCAGAATATCAGAATTTGAGAAATTCAGAATTTCTGAATTCCTGAATTTCAGAATCTCAGAATCTCAGAATCTCAGAATCTCAGAATCTCAGAATCTTAGAATCTCAGAATCTCGGTATCTCAGAATTTCAGTATCTCAGAATTTCTGAATTTCAGAATCTCAGAATCTCAGAATCTCAGAATTTCAGAATCTCAGAATCTCAGATGTCCAGAATTTCAGAAATGCAGAAATTCAGAATCTCAAAATTTAAGAATTTCAGAAAATTGAAATTTCAGAATTGAAATTTCAGAAACTTTAGAAATTCTGAATCTTAGAATTTCAGAATTTCAGATTTTTTTCCAAATCCAAAAACCGAAAATGAGGTCTTTAGACGCCAAAAATGAGAGGATTATATGAGGATTTTCTTTTTTCCTACTCAAAAAAATATCTCAAAAACGACCAATAATAAGCAAAAAGCTTATAGCTAGCTAACCGAGAAAAAGGAAAAAAATTATTTTTCCATATAAAAAAAGAGAAAAAGATGTTTTCGCTCCCCAAAAATGACATCGTTTTTTTCCTTTTTTTTTATTCCCAGTTGGTCTCCTCAAGCACGCAAAACGACAATTAATTAGCAGAAATTCTTTGAGAAATTCAGTGGAAAAAGAGTTTGAATGACATCTTTTTTTGGGAAAAAAATGAAAAAAAAAGGAAAGAAAAGAGAGAAATTTCAATTTTTGCCGAAAATTGACACGGAAAAGAAGATAGGACACTCTAAAATAGATCTAAAAAGGTGGCCCTCGCGCCGGAAATGCCCTTTATATGCAAAACAAAAAATGCAAAAGCATTTTCCCTCGAGAGGAGTCGAACCCCCGGCCTCCCTCCTCAAAACCAGAAGCGTTGCCGCTTGCGCCACAGGTGCAACAGTACGCAAATGGGGCGAGGAAGTAACCTATTGCGCGCTTTTCGGTGTTTTTTCGGTAAGTGAGGGCTTCGAAAAAAATCTTTGCACTTTTCATTTTTCCAAGTCCATGAGAAACTTCTTGAAAATTTTTGCAAATCGAAACCAAGTGTATCCAATTTCCCTACTTTTTCCCATAGACTTAATTTTGAGGAAAAAAAAAATAACTTTTCATAAAATAATTTATTTTCTTCTCACCAGTACTTGCAGGGGTAAAATTGGGTTACATAAAAAGCGACAAAATATAAAAAATCTATCTTTGGGCAATTTACAAAAAGGGTGCGTAATTAGAAAATAAGTTAGAAGGGCTGGAGAAAAGTGTGAAAAATTATGAAACAGGAAAAGTGATTTAAACATCTAAAAATACAAAAAAGTCACATAAATTAAAAAATTTTCGGCCATAATACAAAACTCAGCAAAAATTAAACTCTGGCACAAATCTCTGACACATCCTGAATGATGGATTGAATCAGCGTCTCGTCGCCAGCTTTTCCGTCGATTTGGAGTCCATCGGTCTAGAAAAATAGACTACTAAATTGGCCAAAAAATGAAGCCCAGAAAAAGCCCTGCGGTCGAAAATCGGCCACCGACCGCCAACCAATCGCCAACCGACCGCCAACCAATCGCCGACCAACCGCCGTCTAATCGGCGACCAATCGCCGACCAACCGCCGACCAACCGCCGACCGACGACTAATCGGCGACCGACCGCCGACCGACAGCCGACCTATCGCCGACCGACCACCGACCGACGACCAATAATTGCCATCTTCGGCCCAAAAAGCCTAAAAGCCTAAAAAATCAAAAAATCAATACTTACCGTCTTCTTAACAAGCAAGCAAATTGGCTGCCCGCCAACAGTTCGTCCGAACAACGACGCGGCCTTCGGTGCCTCTTTTGGAGTCTCCTCGACCACCGAAAAATGCCCTTTTTTCGAAATTTGGGACAAAACAGTCCGCAATTTCAGATCCGGGCTAGTTTTGACACTCTGCGACGCCACAAAATCGACCTCATCCGAAGCCAGCAACGCCGACCAGTCATCTTTTCGGATTGAGGAGTTTGGAATGACGAAGACCACTGAAGGAAGGGGAAGGCGAAGGTCCAGTTTGTCGTCTCGCGTGCCTTCATCGTCCTGGAAAAAAATTTCGGAAAATTATCATTTCGGTCGAGAAGTTCAGCTGACCGATCGACCGCCGACCGACCGCCGGTCTAGCTGACCAACCGTCGATCAAGCCGAGCGACCACTGATTTAGGCCACCGACCGCAGACCGAGATCTGATCCAGCCAACTGATCGCCAACCGACCGTTCGGCGATCCAGCCAACCGACCGCAGACCGGCAGCCGATCCAGCCGTTCGAGCTGACCGACTGTCGATCAAGCCGGCCGACCGCCGACCCAGCCAACCAACCGGCGACCGACCGCCGATCTAACCCACAAGCCGACAACCTATGGGCGGTCGGTCGTCGGTCGAAAGCCAAAATAAATAAAAAAAACACTCACCACTAAAAAGTAGGTCACCGTTCCTCTCATCATTCTCGACACATTAGTCGCCGTCACCTGCACATCAAACGACGCCTCTGATGACGTGGCATCCAGCTCCTCGGCCAACAGAATCGCCTCATCTGAATCCTTGACGACCTTCGCATTAAGAGTATCCACCATGGACAATTCCACCTTCTGAATCTTCGCGTCACCTAGCTTCTGGACCTTCAGCGTCACCGTCACCCTTCCATGATCCAGCGGATCCTGATTGGGTCTTGCCACGAAATCCACGCTCAATGTCTTGTTGGCAGCGAGACGAGTGAATTCTGAAGACGTCGTTGGGACGTCGGTATCGATTGGGCTCCGTTGATGGGGGATTGAAGGCGTGCAGACTCCAGATGTCTCCTCGTAGGCTTCTCGAACTTTCCGCGTCGATTTTTTCGTCTTTTTAGCGGGTTTTTCAACAGCCAGGGTGGATTTGGGGACGCTTTCTGAAGAGGGTACGGTTCCATTGTTACTACCAGCTTCCAACCAATCATCCATATTAAAAAGATTCGATTTTGAAGCCGACGACTCCGGAAGACTCTTCTTCTTCTTTAGTTTGGCCACTCCCGTCTTTCCGGTCTTCTTTTTCTTCTCCTTCACGGGTTTTGGAGCCTCAACGACCGGCCGCGGCTCAAAAGTGGTCGGCGGGCGAGGGACCAGCGGGCCGGGCTTCTGTTGAGATGGATAGGTTCGGGTGTAGGCTTGAGGCGCTTTGACGATTTCATCCGGTCGGAGCGGGGCGTCGAGATCCATGTCAAGAGCGCGGAATTCGTCGGTGGGAATGTTCTGGAACTGAGAAATGAGATTAGAGGAGTTTCGTTTAGTTTTAGGTCTAGCAGTTATTCAATGCTTCTACATGGTCGGGAAGTTTGGGGTTAGCTGGCCGACGACCGATCTGGCCGACCGCAGAAGCAGCTGAACAATAGTCGACCCAGCCGAAGGACCGTCGACCAACCGCCGATCACGCCGACCGCCAATCAAGTCAACCGACCGCCGATTCAGCCAACTACTTTTCCAGCCGGCCGGCCACCGACCGACCGCCGATCCGGTCGACCGACCACAGATACAGGTGACCGATAGTTGCTAACCGCCGACCGACCGGCGATCCAGCTGATCGATCGCCGATCCAGTAGATCGGATTCAGCCTTTTGACCGATGTCCAACAGCCGACCCACTTCCGACCGACCACCGATTCAGCCGACCGATCGCCGATTAATCTAACCGACCGATCGCCGACCAATCTGACCGACCGATCGCCGACCAATCTGACCGAGCGCCGACCGACCGCGCTAACCGACCAGCGATCTTGCCGATCCTGCGGACCTGCCACCGAATCAGCCGATTAAGCTGAGTGATCGGCCGGCGCTTTGGCTTTCATTCCGGTCGGTCAAAAATCAGCTCTGCGATCGGTCGACGGTCCGTCAGCGGTCGAAATGTTTTGACCGACCGAAACGACATTTTTTGGCACCAAAAGTAAAATTTCGAGCTCAAAAAGAAACTGAAATCGCCTCACCTTCTCATCCTCGTCATCTGTCGATTTGGCTCCCTCGGGCATTTCTCCATCATTCCTGTTCACTTTATGCACCACCCGATCCTCTTCCTCACTGCTCGTGCTCGTCGTTCGTCGCTTCTTCTTCTTCCCACCGCCCTTCTCCTTCTTTAACGTCTTCTTCTTTTTCTTTCCAATAGAATCAGAATCCTCCTTTGCCTTCTTCCAGCTCAACGTCGAGTCCTGCTGCTCCATGTATCGATGAAGGCCAACGACGCCGGGGATCTCCAGTGGGGATTGGATTTCTTTCTCTTTTTCGGCGGCTTCGGTTCGTTCGATGGGGTTGCCGAAGCGAGTTGGGCGCTTGGGGGCGGTTGCGGAGCCCTGGAAATTTGTTAATTAGGGTAATTAGTTAATTAGGGCAATTTATGCTAATTAAGGGTAATGAAGCCTTTTCGAAAAAATTGGCTGATGGTTCAAAAATGATATAACAAGACCCTGGCGTGTTTTCTAGGTCATTTTGACACGGTGGCTTAACTTTTGCAAGTTTGGTTTTCTAGGCCACCATGGTAAAATGACCTAGAAAACATATCAGGGTAATATTGGACTATTTCTGGGCAATTTCAACGTGGCGGCCTAGAAAGCCCAGCTTGCGAAAGTTAGGCCACTCTGCGAAAATCGCCTAGAAATGATCTTACATGACCCTGGAGTTGTTTGTATGCCATTTAACGTGGTGGCTTAACTTCTGCAAGTTTGGTTTTCTAGGTCATCATCGTAAATTGCGTTAAAAATAAAACTGCAAAAGTAAGGCTACCATTTCAAAATGACCTAGAAATAACGCAAGCTTAATATTAGGCTATTTCTAGGTCATTTTGAGGTGGTGGCCTAGAAACCTCAGCTTGCAAAAGTTAGGCCATCATGCTAAAATCGCCTAGAATACATTTCTAGGCCAAAAAAAAGCTGGTGGCCTAGAAATTTGGGATAATTAGGGCAATTAAGGGTCCTCACCTTCACATAATATGGATTATTCTCAATCTCCTGCTCCCGCTGTCTTCGTCTCTCCTCCATCTCCTCCTTGCTCATCTCTCCACTCTTCTTTCCCTTCTTCCCCTTATTTCCCTTCTTATGGTCCTCAGCAGCCTCTTCAACGTCTTCCTCCATATCTCCAATGTCCATTTTCGGCCGTGTAATCGGCGCTCCAAACATTTCCTCCAAATCCGACTCCTCCTCAGCTTCCTCGGATTCTGACACCCATTCATCCCCAATCCACGCATCCAAATCTAGACCATCTGGCACTGGAACCTTCCTCTGGGCTTTGGTAGCCACTGGATTCAACTCTCCATCGTACAACTTTTGAAGCTCGCCGCCCATCTTCTCCTTCTTCTGATGACGTTGTTCGATGATTCTGATGATTGTCATTAGGTTGCACGCACGCTCCTGAGCTTCTAGATGCTCCGAGAGCTCGAATTGTGGGAGTTTCGAGAGCATTAGGTTGTCTAGACTGTCGATTTGATCCCAATCGTCTTCTTCCTCGGCTTGCGACATTAGGGAGCAGTAGAGTTTTCCGATGTTCTGAACGTAGACAGAGAGAATGTGGCCGGGCATTACAGATGGCTTGGCTTTGAGCATGGACTCTAGAACATTCTGCTGGTTGCGGACATGTCTGAAAATGAACTTTCTATGTTTATCTGCTCTGATCCTTGAATTTTTTGACTCGAATAATCGATAATTTGACGCAATTTGGCATGAATAAAGCTTCCATTTTGGTCGGTGCTAAATTTTCGACCTAGCCGACCGACCGCCGACCAATTTAAAAAAAAATCGATAATTTTCAAAATTCAAAAATTTGGAAAATTGGAATATTCCGGAATCTCAAAAAATTTGAAAAATGGCTTAACATGACCCTGGTGTGTTTTCTAGGCCATTTTGGCGTGGTGGCCTAACTATTGCAAGTTTGGTTTTCTCGGCCACCAGTTTTTTTGGCCTAGAAATAGGCTAGTATGACCCGTGCGTGTTTTAGGTCATTTTTACTTGGTGGCCTAACTTTCGCAAGTTTGATTTTCTAGGCCACCACGTTAAAATGACCTAGAAATGGCCTAACCTGACCTTGGTGTGTTTTCTAGGTCATTCTAACATAATGACCTAGAAAACCCGCCTTGCAAAAGTTCGGCCCCCATGCTAAAACGACCTAGAAAACACACCAGGGTCCAGTAAGGCTATTTCTAGACCAAAAAAGAATGGTGGCCTAGAAAACCCCAACTTGCGAAAGTAAGGCCACGACGTTAAAATGGCCTCAAATGGTCTGATACTTACCTGGTGTGTTTCAAAGCTATTTTAGCATGGTGGCCTAGCTTTCGCTAATTTCGTTTTCTAGGCCACCACCTAAGACGTACTAGAAAAACACACCACGTGAATATCAACCCATTTCCAGCACTTTTACCATGGTGGCCTAAAAAACTCTGCAAACAAAAGTTAGGTCGCCCCGTTAAAATGACCTAGAAAACACGCCAGGGTCACGTTAGGCCATTTCTAAGCCATTTTTCGTGGTGGCCTAATTTTCGCAAGTTTGGTTTTCTAGGCCACGACGTTAAAATGACCTAGAAATGAGCTAACATGTCCCTGGTGCGCTTTCTAGGTTATTTTGAAGTGGTATCCTAACTTTTGCAAGTGTGGTTTTTTAGGCCGCAACCTTTTTTGACCTAGAAATGATCTAATATGACCATTTTGTGTTTTCTAGCTCATTTTAATATAGTGGCCTAGAAAAGCCAACTTGCGAAAGTAAGACCACGACGTTAAAATGGCCTCAAATGGTCTGATACTTACCTGGTGTGTTTCAAAGCTATTTTAGCATAGTGGCCTAACTTTTGCTAGTTGGGTTTTCTAGTCCACCAAGGTAAAACGTACTAGAAAACACACCAGGTGAATATCAGGCTATTTCTAGGCAATTTCTACATGGTGGCCTAGAAAACCCCCACTTGCAAAAGCTAGGCCATCGCGAAAAAAATGTATAAAAACTCACTGGCTATACTCTCCACAGATCCACGCGGCCGCCAGCAAAACCTCACACATATTGCTCCGTTGCTGAGCCGATCCGGCCAACAAAACATGCGCATTCTCCACCAACAACGCCATCTGGGACACCGAAAAGTGTCGAATTGACTCCACACGCACAGTGACGTCCTGGATTTGCTCAGCGATTTTGGCTCCGTGCTCCGTTCCCTCCACTTTAGTGAGCTCAACGAGCACCGATATATACCACTCGAAATTGGTGATATATTGATAGTTGCTCCATGAGCATATTCCTATGATACGGCTGAGCAATTCATCTCGATAATGCGATCCTTCGGCGGCTTCCACGTGCTCCATGAGCTTCTTGACAATTTCCACGATATTCTTCTTGCTCACCATCCCATATAGCAAATCTAGACTTCTCAATCTGATGCTCTCATCCTTATCATCCAAGCATCGGAGCACGATGTCCTTGTGAGCCTGGACAGCTTTTGGATGTGTCTTCAGAATCTTTCCCATTGCTAGAAGCCCAAGGTACTTCAGATTCTGATCAGAATCCTCAATGAGGACGCCTAATTTCTGAACACAGAGTTGGATAGATGATGTGTGATCGCCTCCGGCTGATATACTGATAAGCACTGCTATCACTGTATTGATGCACTCGTAGAGAAGGGACATCGCGGATGTGGAGTTGATAAGATTGGTGAGGGGTTCTAGAAGCTTCTTGCCAAGTCGAGGTTCCAGAGGGACCAGAGCGCCGAACTGAAATCAAACAGATTAATTGATAAACGACTTAATTGACTAATTACCAATTTAATAATCTTAATCAACATCCAATTATTCGAAGACGTCGTCATCAGCTTAAAAAACACCGGAGCGAGTGTCAAATAATTCTTGGGATTCTTCCTGGCCAGCTCGCAGATCACATTGACCGCTGAACTCTGAACTCCTGGATCCGGATCCTCTAGCTTCTCCTTGAGACGTGGAAATGTTGGACGAAGTGCGTCTGGATACTTCAAGAAGACTTTGTAGAGAAGAAGGACCGCCCGTTTTCGAGTGTACGGTCTGGAGCAAGCCAGCAGGTTGACGATGTCGGCAGCGAGGTCCCGGGCGAGGTCGGGGGTCACGAAGCAAGAGAGACCGCCCAATGCAATGCCACTCTCGTACATGTTCGCGCTGAAAAATTGGATTTTTGGGATTTGGAGATGTCTAGAGATTCTCACCTATTGACATCTTTCCGGATCAAATTTGTGGTCAGCATCAGCACATCGGTTTCATCATGGAAGCTCTGGGCCGCGGCTAGGTACCTGAAAATCGATTTTTTGAAAAATGTTACTTCTGAAATAATCAAAATCTTACCCTATTCGCTTCTCCGTATATTTCGTAGATGCCATGACTTCTATAACGTTGAACGACGCCCAGGAAATGTCATAGCCTAGCATTTGGAGCTATAAAAAAAATCAAATTTTCCACAAATTTTCAGTTTTAGCGACTTACATAAGCCAATTTCTCTATAGCATTAGCTTTGACATAGATGGAGTCCTGCTTTAACTCCTGCTTGATCTCCTCCATGCACTGGGCGATGTATCGGGACTGAAAAAATATTTTTTAAAATATTTTCTAAGTTTTTTAGAATACTCACCTCATTATCCTTGTTATTTCTGATCCCCCGAATGAGATCTGTGAGGGATTTGTCGAAAATTCGATCGATGTTGCTGCGAACTTTTCGCAGCGCCATTCCTTCGAATCTGAAAAAGCCAAACATTGTGAAATGGGGCGGAAACAAAAGGGGTTTTCTCATGATTTTTATTCAGAAAAATCGCAAAAATTCGAAAAAATGGCTTTGTGGTGAAACTCCGCAATAGAATTTCAGTTCTGCGCTTTTAAAGGTACCGTAAGAATTTCGTGGCGTAACTCTTTACAAGAAATTGAGTGTTGCGCCTTTGAAGGTACTGTATGAATTTCGTGGTGCAGTTCTACTGAAGAAATAGAGCTGTGCGCCTTTAAAGATTACTGTTTTTTTTTGAGAAAAATTGGGGTTTTCTGAAGAATCAACGAAATTGCATGAAAAATTCTGTTAAAAAATCGGGGGTACGACGAATTCGAAAGTTTTCAAAATCGAACAGACCTAAAATCGAACAGATTCAATTCAGAACAGTCCTTTTTTCGCACACGTACCAGAACAGAACGCGGACAGAATCGAACTGTTACAAGTTCGAAC